AAGGACAGGGGAGGAACACAAAAACATACTCATGTGCCCATGTTTATAGCATCATTATTCATAAATAGACAAAGGTGGATGAAACCCAAATGTCAATCAACAGACCAGTGGCTGAACAAGATTCAAGATACAAAAGAATACTGTTCACCCCTAAAAGAAAGGCATATCTGATATACCCTATGACAGGAAGGAAACTCGGGGATGGTGTGCAAAGTAAAGTTAGCCAATCAGAAGGATCAGTATTGTATGATTTCATTTCTGTCTAGAGTTGTTAAATTCATAGTGATTGGAAGTGAAATGGAGGCTTCCGGGAGCTGGGGAGAGGGAGAATGAGGAGTTGAGTGTTTAATGAACACAGGGTTTCCACTGGGGAAGACGGGAAGTTCTAGAGATGGATGGTGGTGATGCTTACATATATCCATGTGACCCACACACCTGAAAATGGTTCCAATGATGAATTTGAGGGGGGGGGTTCCATTTTACCACAATTAAAATACAATTCTAATTTAATTTAATCTAAGGTATTTTTGATTACAATGAGAATTAAGAAAGAAAGCAAGTTGGTCCTCTGAGTTCGCATGAGCCGAGGACAGAACAAGGGAAGAGCGGTGCTCGAATTGAAGGCACAGCAGCTATCTGGAGCATCTCGCTGTGACTGTTAACTTGCCTGCTGAGTGACCCTAGGTGGACCTCATCACCGCCCCCAGCTCTGGACAGAAGCAGGGCTGCTGCGGGGGGGGGGGGGGGGGGGGGAGAACAGAAACTGCTCCATCTGAACATGGACGGATGATGCCCGCTGTACCTTAAAGCACAACCCTGGTTCCTGCAATTAAGATCTGCTACATGGGGAAGTGGTAAAGGGAAGGGGGATTCTTTTAAAGCTTTAGATCAGCCGATGGGGTGTGAGAGGGGAAAGCCAGGACTGGAGAGGTTGTAGAGGAGCAGGAGGCCCTGGGCATGGGTTCTTGGGGCCCAGGCAGCCTCTAGAATCTTTCAAGTTCCACAGTAGCCTAACAGAGGAAAAAGGATGGGCTTTGAAGACTGGCAGCCACTCAGGTTGAATAAATATTTTTTTCTGAAAATACTGACCCTTGGTCTCAGCCTGGGGGAAAGGAGAAGTAAATGAAGATGGATCTCAGATCATTGATCTGACGCTGTCCCCTGAGCCATGTGCTAGTGCGCAGGCTCACACGGAAAGGCATCAGCACTTCAGTTTTATTCCATTTTTTTCATATAACTTTCAGGACAGTGTCTGATTGGTCCTAACAGGTTTAGACACCTTTTCAAATCTGTGTGTGTTGGGCCTTTATTTGAGAGAACAGGACTCAGGCTCATCAGCTTCAGTTACCAGCAATGTCTAGTTTAAGAGTCAACACAGCCCACTGTCTTGTTTGTAAATAAAGCTTTATTGGAATACAGACACACCCATTTTCTTTTATATCATGTATGGCCACAATGTCAGATTTGAATGATTGTAATAGTGACTATAGTGTGTAGCATGGCTGACCCACAAAACCCATTACTGTCTGATCTAGTACAAAAAAAGCTTGAAGATCCCAGTCTCACTTAATTATAAGTTTTGTGTGTGTGTGTGTGTGTGTGTGTGTGTGTGTGTGTGTGTGTGTACACTTAAATGCTCTCTTTTTAGGTAATATGAGTCTTTCAGTAACATTGATTGAAATATTTAGAAGTAGGTTAATGAAAAGGCAAAATATACAGCATTAACAAACAGATATATTAGTGCTGTTTGGGCACATGTGTAACTGGGGCTTGGTGAGCCCCAGGTTATGAGAATGAGGAAAGTCAAGGGATGAGGAAGCTGGCCACAGAGAGCCATGTTGGTAAGGGAAGGAAAACGGAAGGGCGTGAAGGGGTCCAGGAAGGGGATGTTATGAACCTGGGATTTGTGTTTTCCCCAGAGACGGAAAGAGGGCTTGGTGTGTCTTGATGGAATTAGCGAAGATGGGGCAAGGAGGTGGGTGTGAAAGGGTTAAGGATAGCTTGTTGATGGAAGCAGGGCAGAGGGTTGGGAGGGTGATGAGAAAGGTCTAAAGACAGCTTCTTTCTCCTGGAAGCATCAAGACTGAAAGACGTGAAGATATAAGTGACAAGGTTTACAGAGTGTGCTCCCGAGTTCACAACTACAGACTTACTTAATCTTTTCAATAACCTTGTGAAAGAGGGATTAAGAGGAGAAAACTGAGAGAAAGAAAGGGCCAGTGCCTTGCTCATGCTCACACAGCTGGTAAAGGCACCCTCAGGCACCTGCACAGTCCTGCACTGTGACAGGGCAGGGAGGCCTTGATGGACAGGACAGCAGGGCCAGCCCCACCCAGGAGGTGACTGGGAGGGACTTGGTCATTCACAGAGTCAGGTCTGGGAACTGTGACGCAGGATCAGCTGAGCACATGGCTGGCCCATCCCCGCCTCAGACTCAAATGCCTATTAGGATCTAAGGTCACGGAGAGGCAGTCATCCTGTGACATCACAGGGTGATGTCAGGTGATGGTGGCTTTGTCAAAGGACAAGGTCTCCATTACTGAGAGGAGGCAGGGCTCTGAGGCAAGAGCTTCTGAACCACAGGGGTGACTAAAGCCTTGAGAAAGCTAAGAAACCGGAGACAGAGGGACTTCAGATGACCGAGCCTGGAGGACAGGCTAGGGGCTAGGAACTAGCTGTGCTTGCCATATACACTCAGCTTATGGTGCAGAAAACAAACCTGCCATACAGTGTAACAGCTCCCTACCCTAACCATTTTCCTGGTTTTGAGTGTATCCCATTGTATTTATGAATCATTTGAGATGATCAATTCATGCACTGCTTAAATGTTAGCTAACGTGTATTAACTGTGCTACAAAATCTGTATTGGATCCTCTACACTCAGCAAGGGGTCAATAATATTTTAGTAATAATATGCTTAAAATTTAGTTTTAATTTTAAGAATACTGTGGTCTTTAATTTCCTGAGGCAGCATCTCATTTTTTAGCCCAGACTGAACTTGAACTACGATCCTCCTGCCTAAGCCTCCAGAGAGCTGGGATTACAGGTGTGCCCCACTACACCTGGGAAAATGTGCTTTATCTCAAGGTTGTACATATATGGGGGTCATTTGGGGTTATCTATCCATGGACTATGAGCTCTTTGGCCTGGTGATGGAGAGAGTGGCCAGCCTGAACCCAGGCAAGGTGAGACCAGCCTTCTTAGCCTTTCTTTTAGTGAAGCCAAGACAACAAATTGACTCTCAGCATCCTTGGGGCTGGCTCATTCTCCCTGGTGCCTGGTGATATGGTAGATCATCTTTGATGGGGTGCTGACATTTTATAATTACCTGTGTCTCTGGGGAATGGGATTGGAGGCTTGTATGTTCTTCCTGTACCACAGCTGGATATCAGAGGCTATCCAAACAGATCTTCTGGCTGGTTTTCTAGGATGTGAATTGAACCATGTCTACCAGCTTCATACACTGAAGTCCTAAAGCCCAGGACCTCAGAATATGACCATATTTGGAAATGGAGACACAATTAATAAATATGAGATTAAACTCCACTTGAGTGGCCCCTAATCCACAGAGACGTGTGCACAGGGACAACAATGCCTCCTCCCAGGAACAACAGAGAGGCTCCCGACCCACAGAAGCCATGAGAGGAGGGTACAGCCTCTCCTTGGAGCCATGAGAGGAGCCACCCTGCCAACTCTTGGTGCTGGTGAGTGAGCAAATCCCCCTGCATCTCAGGCGGGCAGAGAGGTAGTGCCTTTGCTCACATAGGGTGTAACCAGCTGCACTTGGTTGGGTCAGGTGAGTGTTTCTTGCTAATGAGTTGTCCCAGATCCACAGTGGGGACCCCAGGCATTTTCCACTATTTCACATCACTCTATCTGCTCTTGACTTCTGTCTCCTCTTCCCAACCCATCCTTCTCCCTTGCTTTCATTCATCCACTTTTTCATCAAGCATCCCATCAGTCTCTCCCAACTGTGCAAATACCTACACTGACTGAATACACAGGAGAGGCTACATCAGGGGACAGGAACAAAGAAGACACCTAGGCAGAGTGGAGGGACTACCTGTGGCCTGGCCAGTCCAATGGAGCCTACAGTTAGCCATGTGCAATGTGGCCATGTTCATAAGGGGAGAATGACAAGCTGCAGGAAGACAATGCAGCCTACTCCTGGGAGGAAGGAAAGAGAGGGGTCTGAACCTGCATGCTGATTACCAATGAATTGATGCTACTGATGCCTGGGTTCCCAAGCGGTCATCGGCTTCAGGTCTTCTTTTATGTCAGAGTTTTCAACTAGAAATGAAGTGTGTGTGTGTGTGTGTGTGTGTGTGTGTGTGTGTGTAATGGAGAGAGAGAGAGAGAGAGAGAGAGAGAGAGAGAGAGAGAGAGAGAGAAAATGGCATAGCCAAGCTCTCTGTAACTGAGAATTCCACATATATAGATTCAATTAACCTCAAAATATTTTTTTTTACATAGCCTGTCTCTGTGTAGCCCCAACTATCCTGGAACTCTCGCCACCAGACTTTTATTCTTGTCATCATCCCCTAAATAATGCAATATAACAAACATTTCATGGCATAGACATTATATTGGGTGTTAGAAGTAATCTAGAGATGGTTTAAAGCAGTGGTTCTCAACCTGCGGGTCACGACCCCTTTTGAGGGGAGAGGTCAAATGATCCTTCCACAGAAGTCACCTAAGACCATCAGAAAACACAGATATTTACATTATGATTCATAACAGCAGCAAAATTACAGTTATGAAGTAGCAATGGAATAATTTTATGGTTGGGGGTCACCACAACACGAGGAACTGTATTAAAGGGTCACAGCATTAGGAAGGCTGAGAACCACTGAAGTATAGGGAGAATGTACGTAGATGACATAAAAACACTGAGCCTATTTGTACAAGGGACTTGAGCTTTCCCCAGATTTTGGCATCTTCCAGGGTTCTAGAACTCATCACCATGGATACTGAAGGGCAACTGTAGGGGTGAGCATTGAGCAAAGATGGCCAGAAGCAGGGCATCGTGGAGCAGCTTTCTGTTACCAGGTCCCTGTGACACAGCATGCTAGATAACAGTTCATTGACCAACCATCCTGGTTGACCAAGACCAAAGGATTCCCCAGCATGTAGAAATGTTAGCATTAGAATTATTCACCTGACCTAAACCAGGCAAACACACACACACACACACACACACACACACACACACACACACACACACACACACCACACACACACACACACAGACTCAGAAAGATACATGGCAAGCTATAGACTGCTAGACTGGCCAGGAGTCAGCCATGCCATGCACAGCCACAGCCACAGCCACAGCCGAGGATTCACCAATCTTACCAATCTTTTCAAGAAGCTCAGGGTCAAAGCTGGGTAACAAATTGGAAGAGCCTTGGCTTCCCCAGCAAGGAGATTCCACATGGGTGAACAGTCCCTGAGGATACGACAGAAGGGATGCAATACTTGTCGAAAGGCATATGCAGACACTCTGTCTTTGAGGTGCTTCAACTTGGATACATAGCTCGGTCAAATCTTAAGGTGTTTTAGATCCTGAAACCTCTGGCTTGTGTCATGCTGCCCCTCTCCTTCCACAACTTGTTTTCTGCAAGTTTCTCTCCGTTCAAAGCTTATTTTATACATTGGAAACTAAGTGAACTGAATGGGGATCTCCTGTTTATTCTCATTCTTTGGGGAAGACAGGGAATAGAAATCATTTACTTCATCTGTCTGGAGAAGCTAAAGTTGAGAAAGGGTTGATACCTCATCCGAGGCTTCATCCTGAGTGGGGACAGGAAGATGCTCGCCTTTGTGGCTCTGCTGAGGGGACCACGCTATGCGTTTTCCTCATGTGATGTTCAGTCTATCCATCTTGTAAGTGGCCACCATGATAAAACTTACCTGTCTCATCCATACATCCTGGGGGATGATCATAGTATCTGTATGGGCAGACTGGCATCATCCACCATGAGAGATGAAGCAAGCAAAACACTAGTTGTTGTAGAAAACAGTCACTAGCTTGTGCAAAGACCTCTGGGTTCATGCCTGGGAAGTGGATGTGGCTCATACTGAGTACAATGCAGACAGAAGCCAGAGAGCCTTCTCACCCTATCCTTTCCCTGTCTCCCTACCTCCCCATCTGCTTTTATCTTTCCTGCCCATCATCTGAGGGAACTTACATCCTTTAGAAATAGAGTAGAGAATCCGCAAGGCAAACACAGCACTGGCTGGTATTGAACTGGTATATAAGCAACTCTTACAGTACCATTTCAAACTCTACAGGTCTCAACAGACTCTTGTCCATATAGGGAAGGGGTAGCAGGCGTAAGAGAGATAACAAAGGTAGGGGATTGAGAATTTAGAATTCATTATAAACACATACAAGCCAGGCAGTGATAACACACACCTTCAATCCCAGCACTCAGGAGGCAGAGGCAGACAGATCTCTGTTGAGTTCTAGGCCAGCCTGGTCTACAGAGTGAGTTCTAGGACAGTCAAGACTACACAGAGAAACCCTGTCTCAAAAAAACCAAAAATAAAACAAAACCTACATATGAACAAAGAACAAATGTAATTAATTTTTAAATCCCTCCTTTTCTGACCAGGAAAAGCAAGGCAGAAAGCATGGGAGGAGGCAAGTCCTGCCCTACCACAATAGGTGTGGACACCATTCTTGGGTATTCAGGGCCTTCAGGCTGGCTGTCCAGCTGTCACGTCAGAGAACAAGGAAGGCGTCCTCTTCCAGGGCCACAGGACCTCTGACTGCAAATCCACCTGAGCCACACTTCTCAGCCACATTGCCTTGCTGATCCCAGCAATGCCCAGTCCAATGAACAGTGATGTCATATTGTTTGGGTTGGGATCATTCCTGAACCATGAAACAGTTAAGAAATATCCTGCCCCACTGGCTGCCAGGCTCATAAAGGTGGACCCACGTGTACTTCCTTCTTGTTCCAAGACGCACAAGCTCATGCATTTGCTCACACCCAGAGGGAGAGACAGCAGAGGACTGCCACCTCCCATGCAAATCACCCCCAGGAGCGCAGCTGGGCTCCTCCCGCTGCTCCTGGGCAATGCTCCTGGGCAGACCTTGTACAAGATGCCATCTAGGGCGCTGTGTATTTTTCCTCATTGTGGCTCTTTTGACCGACGCTGTGGGCCTGATCCTTTTGTTGCTGGGGATCTTTGCCACACTAAACTACTGGGACTTCTTGGTCTACACAGGGGCTCTGATCCTGGCCCTGAGCCTACTGTTCTGGCTTGCCTGGTATTCCATCAATATCGAGGTGCCTCTTGAGACGCTGGACTTTTAGTGTGGCCATGGACAGGAGAGATGCAGGTGGTATATGCAGCTGTGAACTTGGGGCCACCTGGACATGAAGCCCCCCTCCCCCCACTGAATGCCCCACTGGGACCAGGTGAGTGTGCACAAGACCTGCCTAGCAAGGTAGTGAGGGAGGCTTAGACAGGCGGGGACAGACCAGGACTGCATGGGCAGGTGGGTGGATGACTGATCCTCAGATGAGGATTCTGTAAGTCTAGGCTCAGGGTAGTGCTGTGGTGGACGAGCTAGGAGAATGTAGAATGGATGCTTTCTCTTTAGGGACCATTTTCTCTAAGTTCCTTCTTCCTGTAGTAGGCCACAATGATTCCACTTCAGAAACACACACACACACACACACACACACACACACACACACACACACACACACACACACACACACACACGAGAATTACCAGTATAGAACATGGGAGAAAAGAACCCATCTCGACCTCCACTGTACAGAGGGATGGGGGGAGGGGGTTCTAGCATGAGGAAAGTATGGAAAGTTCCCCAGTAGCTGCTAATGGCCTTGCATGCCTGGAGGGGTGTGAGCTGGGCTGTGTGGGAGCAAGCAGAGCAGAACCATCCAGAATGGTCTTTCTCTCTTGCTTCCTTCCTGCAGCTGACAGAGCCTGCTTTCCCTCAGAAGTGTCCCTGCCCGGCTCCTCACAAAGACTAATAATACAGCCAACACATGTGCCTAGACCAGCCTCAGAGGCCCTGAAGTCTAGACACTGGCTTTGAGTTTTCATCGGCTGAGTCATGTGTCACAGCCAGGCAAGTGGCTCAGTTGACTGCATGGAACATAAGAATTATCTGTAAGATTTTGACGCAGGGGTGAAGCTGAAAGAACACTGGGCTTGATCTCACAACCCAGAGTGAGATGGCAACTCTTCCCAGGGAGCTGAAACGGGAGCACTGGTCAGTTTGATCTCATCCCTTCCTCCCCAGGTGGGTTGGGACCTGCGGGTGGGTGCAGCTTGACACTCCCTTTCGATTAGGAGATAAGGGAGCAAAGGTTATTGCTGAGATGGAGGAAGGGAATAAGGATTCTATCTTTTATTGGAGACTACAGTTGGCCCCAGAGCTGTGGGAATAGAGTAGTGTGTTGAGTACAAGGTAGATGAGGAGAGAAATGAGACACCAGGGATCCACAGGACCCACACCAGGCTTCCATGCCCCTTAGCTGGGTGACCTTGAATAGAGTGCATCACATGCTGAGCCTCTGCATTTTTAACCTTAGAAATGAGGATACTGTTCTCTGCTCTCACTGAATAGGCCAGAAGTGGTAAGGCAGGAATGGCTTTTTGCAAATGATTGGGTTCACATGAATGATAAATGTTGTTGTTAAACATGTAGCCTGGGTGAGTAAGCTCACCTGGAATCCAAACTTGGAATTTGTGGTTGTCCCACAGAGTTGGCCATGCTAAGAATCATTTCGTACTTTAGATCATGGGGCTCCTCCGAAGCAAGGAAGCCTCCAATTTGCCTGCTGTACCATGGGAATGAGTCAGGCACTAGGGTAAGGAACCAGAGATGCCATAAGGACCAGGTCAGGGAGTTCCCTGCCAGGAGAGAGACACAGACATTAGCCGCACAGTCATACTAACAGTGCCGTAACAAAGTGAGCTGAGGACTAGGAAGGAAGGGAGCATCCAAGAGGGAAACCAACCTGGAAGGTGGAGTCACAGGCTTCCCAGAGGTGGTGGCAGGCTGAGCACCCAAGAAAGGGGAGTTGGATTAGAAAGTCTTCCAGGAGAGGGAATGGATTGGGCACAGTTCTAAAAGATGCAAGAAGAAAGAAGGGTGAGGAGTAAGGACTGAGGAGGTGGGGGCTTGCAGCAGGCAAAGTCCTAGTCTGGCACAGACTCCAAGGGCCTTCTTAAGCATGTTGGGTGTTCCTTTAGTCAAAATAAGGTATCAATGGATTTTTTTATAAGCATGGATTTGTCTTGATTCTGCTGAATTTGACTCCAAAAGGTCACCCTAGCCACAGCCCACAAGGTGATAAGAATTGGTATCAGAGTTTTGACATATGCAGCATTAGGCTCCTTGTCCTGCATCCATCAGAAGCTCAATAATCCCAGGCTGGTTCAGATGTCTCAGTAGGGAAAGACACCTGCTGCTAAGTCTGATGACCTGAGTTCAACCCCAGAGACCCACATGGAAGAAGGAGAATACTGACCCTTGTAAGTGGTCCTCTGACCTCTGCATCTGCACTGAAGCATGCTTTCATACATGCTAACACACACACGCACACACATGCTCTCGCACAATGCACGTGTACACATATAATGTAGTTTCAATTTTTAATAATTATTTATTTTATTTTGTGTGCATTGGTGTTTTGCCCACATGTGTGTGTGAGGGTGTTAGATCTTGGAGTTACAGATAGTTGTTAGCTGCATTGAGGGTGCTGGGAACCCAGGTTCTCTGGAAGAGCACTTAGTGCTCTTAAACACCAAGCTATCTCTCCAGCTCCTCAAATTTATTTTTAAAAATTTAGTTCAATAGCCAGGACAGGATCGAAGTCCTACACCATCTGCCTCAAATCCTGTTTTGTTCCTTTCTATCTGTGTGACCTAGGAAAGTTACCTCCCTTCTCCACATCGGTCTCCAAGTCTGTAAAGTGGAGATAGGAGATAGAATAATTAGTAATGACCTCGACCTCGAAGGATGTTGCTGATAGTGGTTAAGCAAGGCAAAGGGCACTCAATGGAGCCTCTGTCAACATGCTGATAGGTGGCACAGGATGGTGGATGGTGGAGGAACCTTCCTTTCAGATAGACATTCCTGAAAGATTGACCAATTCTACCTATGTGGTGCTGGGGCAGGAACCAGGACCTCATGCATGTTAGGCAAGTGTTCTACCACTGAGCAACATCCCCGGCACCATCAATTCTTAAGGCAGTGCATGGTATTAAGAGGGCGTTTTGTTTCGTCTAGTTTGGTTTGGTTTGGGGTGGCAATGGGAGTGGATGCCGATAGATTTTTTACTCAGGATTTTCAGATGTGGGGGCTACCCAGTGTCTTCTCCATGGAGCACGAGTCATTCCAACAGCACTTTTACTTTTCCAGTCTTCAACCTCTGTGTGTGGGAGGGCTTTAGAGTCACCAAGTCACCATCAATCTTTCTCTCCATCCCTGCAATGGAGTGGTCCAGAGTAAGAGCGTAGCGTCACTGCCCAGAAGCTGCTCACTCACTGTGGGGCTACAAGCTCTTCTGTGACCTTGGACAAGTCATTGTCCTTTCCTTTGCAATGAATCTTTGATCAAGCAGTGCAAGCCAAAGATCTCTAGAGGAGGAGGAAAGTATAAGGTGGAGTCAGAGGACAAGAAGCCAGAGTCCCAGTCCACACACAGTCTACTCATCTAGGTTTTCAGTAGTTTTACCACTGAATTTGCATATAAGTAGTATTTTCCCTGAACATTTCCTCTAGTGCCCAGCACTGTCTCTCCAAGATAATTGCTGTCAATTCTCTTGCATTCTGCAACCTTTGGCCTTAGTATAATCACTAACTATATTTATGACTTATGGCAATTGTAACTGGTTTAGCCAGTTCTCAGCTATTGGAGTGAGGTCAGGGAAAGAGAAACAGACTCCTGAGTCAGAGACTGATGCCATATCATCTTCCACATCCTTTGGAGACTGTTGGAGATGAGGATGATAGGACCTGCTCTGCCCTGCCCCAGGGCTGAGGAGATCACATTCCTGGACTGCTGCAGGACGGAGCTGTGCCCTGGCTGCTCTGCCAGCCCTTAGCCTGCAGTGTCCAAGTTCTCCAGAGGCAAGAGGGCAGTTGGTGCTAAGTCTCAAAGGCTGCCCAGAAAGTTTCAAAATGACTGGCTGGTTTTTATAGACCAACTGTGTACAAAGCGAGACCTTCTTGCTGTGATTTTATCTCTTGGCCACTGTGTTTCCAGGCTGTTTGCTCCCCCCCCCTCTCTTTTTTTTTTTTAAACTTCTTGGGCACATCCCATAAAGATAAGTCCCCAGGAAAAGTCAGGTGAAGACTCTTGTCTATTTGCAAATAGGATCTAAGATAACTCCCACCCCCAAATACACACACACACACACACACACACACACACACACACAC